AGGAGAGGAGAGGAGATCTGATGGGAGTTTTTATATAGGTAAACCAACCCAAGGAAAAAAAAAATTAAATTAAATTTAAAAAAAAAAAAAAACTACCAATCCCACTACTTTATTTATTATTTTTTAATCATTTTTTTTCTTAAAAAAAAAAACCAATAACTATCCATTTAATTTATTTTTTTAACTACTAGCATTTCACTTTAGGTGCGTGTTTTTTTTTTGTACGTAGTATAACATATAAAAAAAATTGTACTCTAAATCCCCAACCCATCAATTATAGTACTCTAAGGGCATGTTCTTATTGACTGAACTCAGCTGAACTGAACTGAAATGATTGAGCTGAATTGAACTGAACTGAAATGAATATTTTATAAGAGAAGGAAATTAGAATCTGAACTGAACTGAACTGAACTGAGCTGAGCTGAACTAAACTAAATTGAATTTCAATGTATGAGAACAGACCCTAAATCCCCAACCCTTCAATTATATACATTTTTTTAGGGAGTACCCTCCAAACATTTTCCATTTATTTAATCATCAAAAACAAAAAAAAAAAAAAAAAAAAATGTACAACACGTTTTTGTGCAACTAGCCTCGGCGAATAACTACTTGCAACAGAACAAAGTATGTAAATTCTACAGCAAGACACTAACCCATATGACACTAAGGGCCTGTTCTCATTGACTGAACTGAGCTGAACTGAGCTGGGGAATTTCAACGTAAGAAAACACGCCCTAAACTGAGTAACACGAGTAACCCTTATAACACTAAACGGGTAATCTCTATAACTTTGAAAAAGTAAACCCCATAATAACATTGTGTGGCCACGAACATAAAAGAGTAAGACCCTGTTTTTTGAGGTTCTAAGCTTTGCTTAGAATATCATATTTCAGAACAGCACATTATTAATACTCAATACAACAGAGCTAATTAGGGTTCAACAGAACCGACCATTACAGCTCAAGTCTAAATTACAACATCAAAATCAACTTTCCATATTTTAAATATATTTTTTAATATATATCCAGTGCATTTTGCACATGTACATTCTAGTAATGTTAAAATATAAAGTGTTATATAATATATGTATTTAGTGGATGCCCATTTTACCCTTATGATAATTCTAGGATATTGTAGAGATATACCGGGTTTATTATTATTCTACAACTAGTTTAAGTCCCGCAATGCACGGTTTTTACTTAACCTAATTTTTAATTACAATATTAATTTAACAAAAACTTGAAATAGATACTTGAATTCTTTTAAAATAATAATAATAATAATAAATTAAAAAAAAAAGCAAAACAAAACTTGAGTTTAATATTATATTGATGTCAAAAGTTATTGATCATTAAACATTTTTTTTTTTAAAAAAACACAAATTTAATGATTATAGGATTTTACATAAGAATTAAATTTTATGTTAATTATAACCCGTACAATGTACTTTTTTTAGAGGAACATGTGTAATGTACATACCTCAACGTCCCAATTTTGTTGGCATGTTTTGACCGGCACAATGTTTTATAGCTTACTTTGACCAATATAATATTTCATACAAATTTAATTGACTTTTTTTTATAATTAATAATCAAGGTTTTTTATTTTTATTTTATGTCTTTATTTATTGAATTGTAGTGTATTATTATAAATAAATCAACAAATATATACGTCGTAATAAAAGTTAAAGAGTCATCCAGGTTGGAGCAAAAAAAAAAAAAAAAAAAAAAAAAAAAAAAAAAAAAAACTTCCAAGAAAAAAATATCAAAATGATATGGAGTAGTGCATTATTATTGTAATATTACTCCCTCTGTCCCCAATTGATATTCACTTTTGAAGAATAATCACGGGAATTAAGGAGAATTAAAGAAAGTACATTGAAAAGTAAATTTACATTGGATATGCAAAAAAGTAGAGATAGAAAGTAACTAAAGTACATGGGAAAGTAAAATTTACATTGAAAAGTTAAATTTGCACAAAGATATTTGCAAATGTTAGAGAATTTTGGTAAAAAAATAATATTAATGGTACTTGAAAAAAACAAATGTGACTACATTTTGGGTGTCAAAAAATGACATAAGTGACTATCAATCGGGGTCGGAGGGAGTATATGTTTGTTTATTTTAGAAAAAAATACCTATTATAAAATAATGAAAGATAGGTTAAAATATTATTCATTTATTATCATTGATGCATATAGATATAGAATATACTTTGTATATAATATAGTTGCCAAATTGAAGGTTAAATATTCTAATATATATAAATAAATATTCACAAAGATTTGTAAAAAAAAAAAAAAGGGTTAAAAATGGCGGGAAATTTTTTAATTAGAACATGACAAAACAAGTGTCATGTCAGATTCACCTTTAGTATTATGTTATTAATTGCCAAATTGAAGGTTAAATATTCTAATATATATAAATAAATATTCATGAAGATTTGTAAAAAAAAAAAAAAAAAGGAAAGTTAAAACTGGCGGAAAATTTTTAATCACAATATGACAAGTGTCATATCAGATTCACCTTTAGTATTATGTTATTGATGGAATCCTAATTGTATCACAAGTATATATATGTACTCCCACATCATTCAGTAAGATGAAGATAGATTTATTCTCTCCTCTATTTTCCCCTTTTTCTCTTTAATTTCATAACACGTTATCAACACCAAAGCTCTACCCAACTGATTAAAATCAAGACTTGCCGATTCAAAAAGGTAGTTTTCTTCTTTACGTTGATTTGCAATTTAATTTTTTATTCTTTAATAACATGAAATTGAACTTTCATTATAAATTTCTTTGCAAAACAATAAACTTTTAATTCGAAAGTTATTAGGATCAGATCTGATATATTCTGAAATAATTAGGTAAAAGATGTACTCTGTATTTCATTATTGGATCTTATTTTAGGATAGCCTTGTAATTCTATTTGAACTCTGACAACTTGTTTGCAAGGGCTATGAGATAGTTTGTATGATTATATTATGTGAGCAATAATAATAATCAAGTTCCGTGCGTTCCTTAGCAAAGTTTTGGTTTTGCTAAAATTAAGAAGATTTTTAATGGGCTAAAGGATAGCAAAAGGCATTAATTATTTAATGTAGTATGTTACATATACTAATGTAACTCATAGTTTATATTAATTTGTTATTCGAGGGTTTCGAGTACAAAGTTCAATCAAGTGGACTAGAGTACATATTTCTTGATCAATTATTATTCTTTTTTTTGAATTATTTTTAATTGGGTATTTAACTTCTTGTGCGAAAAAGTCCAATTGCATGGAGTGCCATTGATGCATATATACTATATAGACATAAAGTAAATGATTACTTTGGTTATATGTTTTCATAATTGCCTTATATGAATAAGTAATGGTACTATATTGCACTGTGACACAAACACTAAGTATTACAAATGATTTAAATTTATGCTTTTTGATCTTGTTTATTTAAGGAATGAATTATGATATTATTGCTACCTTATTATAATGAACCATGGTATAAGAATTACTGTGTGATGTTTGATTATATTCTTTTGATTGCATATGGAGTATTTATATTTGGTCATTGCCTCATATTATATCTAATCTTAATTATAATTCTAAGATATTTTATTTATCAAGATATCTATGTATATGGAGATTTTATTTTTGGATTATTATGTTACAAGTTCTAACAAACTAATTAAAGATAAGATTGACTTTATCTATTTGTAGCTCTATTAACCAAGAGACCAATTTTATTCGTATATCAAGTCTATTTTGCACCCTTAATATTAACCAAAAGTCTATATTTATTATGTGTTCATCTATAGATTTAATTTATCTTTATACGTTTTGTCGAGGAATTGCTCGATACTTGATATTTGATACTAGTCAAATACATGTCTGGACAATTGTATTTTAATTTTTAAACTATAAAAACAATGATTAGTCAGATGGTGACTTCATAACTGCATACTCCTTTTCAATTTTGGATTTGAAGTTCCAAATTTTGTTCTTTTAATCTATAATTTAAAGTATCTCATGTACATGCATTAAAAATTGACATTAACTTAGTAACCTTATAAGTGGGTACTATATTGTGAAACATACTAACACAATGGTATAAGTATTGTTTGATGTGTGATTGAATTTGATTATATACCTATATACATGAAGTTGAATTATAGAATGATGAATAAATTGAACGTGAAGTATTCATACGTAACGTCTTGAAGTTCCTTAAATTAATGAATTGAAGGGTCAGATATACCGTATACGTGACCTAAATATGTCCACCAGTCACAGGACTAAAAGTGATTTTATAAACACCATGCTAAGAGAAAAATGTACGAAGTATTTTGATTAGTTCTAATATTGTCTATTGGGTGCACATTTAAGACATATATATGTTGATAAATAATTGAATTTACTCATTCCCAGAAGTGAATGAGAATTCTTATAATTAAAAGGTATATGTTTGCATGGTGATTATCATTCATGTAAAGTTCATAATAATTACAAACATGAGTACATAATATACATTTGAAATCTAAGCATAACATAAAGTTCTTAGATTTAATTTTTAGGACTCCATTAAAAAAATCCCATTAGTCAAAACCAAACTATTTATCTAATCTTGGATTTAATTTCCCCTTGAATAAAAAATAAATAAAAATAAAATCCCAAAAATCTTATACTCCGTATTTTATTTCCCTTAGTAATACATTACGGATTACATAATATCTCGTGTATTAGTATGGGTACCTTCTAATTCCGACTAGTCTTTAAACAAGTGGATAAAGTACTCCACTTTGCATCTACATACACAAAGCGTTGAAGTGTTCCAGAGTTTGTACGGTTGTACCATCTCTAATCATCTGCAAAATCTTCTTATTTATTTCAATTAAACCTCTTTGCATTGATCTTCATTAAAAACCCAATTCAAAGTGAATTAACAAACTAAGGTTTAATTACTAAATTAAAATTCCAATTAGGGTTTGTTAAATTCCCTTTTCGTCTGGGTACCAATGCAACACAGCTGAAGTAATTTGTTGCCTTCAATCCATTGGTAAAGTATCTTCCTTTTATTCTATCAATTATTTTTTTTTGGATCCTTACTTTACTTCCACTATAAATTCTCAATTTTACAATTGTAGGAAATTTGGTAATTTGCCCCAAAGATTGATTTTTCTGGGGTTTTGATTTTTTGGTTGATAGAATTGTTTCCAATTGATACTGATTGATTTTACATCATAATAGTTTTTATTTTGGTAATGTGTTAGATAATAGAGCCATGTCTCGCAAAGCTAATCATGGGTATGATTACGACGACGACATTTACGAAGATTATGATGAAGATTATGCATATGATTATGAAGATGATGACGATGATAATGTTCATGTAGAGCATTGTAAGTATTGTCTTGATTCTGAGTGTTTTATAGTATTTTTAATGCTTATCGCGGCGTTGAGTTGGTAAATTAATGTAATTTATGGCTGATTCGAAGTATGCTTTACAATTTATAGACTAATTATAGAATTCTAGTTGTATGGCCACATATTAGTATTACATTGTGTATTGTAGTTATTATATGAAGAGATTCGAAAACTTCTCTACCCTTCTTATCCTATCCTCCATCATTTCCTCCCATTTAATGTGCAATAAAAGTTTGTTTGATAGTCTAGATTACCGGTGATCATTTGTACGAAAATGAAACTATATTTATCTATCCTTGAATTTGTTGTTGCAGCTGATGAAGTAGTAGTGAATAAGGAAGCAAATAAGTCCGGGGTTTTGTGCTGTTCTGTATGTACCTATGATAATGAAGAGAGTATGACTTATTGTGAGATATGTGGTGTTCTTCGTTTTCCTCCTTCTGAGGGTAGCAGCAGTAGCGGCGGTATTGATAACAAAACAGGTAATGGAAGTGTAAAAACTTAAAATTTTACTTTTGTGTCAGTATTTTGTTTATTTAATCAATTATACAGCCAATATAGTCTTTGTTTGGTTTTGTACGTATTGAGTTCATTAAGCTTAAGGATGATAAGTGGAGAATTAGTTGATATTTTCATTTATTCATCCTTTTGGGGTAGAGGACATGATGTTTGCAACTTCTGTGAGGGTTTATCTATGTGGTCTATAGCTTCATGTGAATTATTTGAACTGTACTTTAGGGTTATGGTTTACTGTCTTCCTTTTGTCTATTTATTGTTTGTTTTAAGCCAATGTCACTATGTTTGACCATTAGTAAGGCTGAAGGGTT